ACATATTATATTAATTGGTTTGTTTGTTTGAATTTATGCACAAAGCTACACAATGGGCTATCTGTGCTCTGCCAACCACGGGTATCGAAACCCGGATCTAGCGTTCTAAGTCCGCAGACATACCGCTGTACCACTAGGGGGCCGTACTGTGCAGAAAATATGAGTAAATAATACTATGTTTACAACTGAACTAGAAGGCTCAAGATTTCCGAAATATTTTTTACTTCTAAAAATAATCCATAATATTCAAAAAGAAAAAAAAAAACGTTCCTCCAATCCTTTTTACGTCCATTTTTTTCGTCGTATCTTCATATATTGCTTTTATTTCAACTCATTTTTTCTCATGTTTCCCTAAATAATTTTCATGTTTAACAAAAAAAAATCACCACAAGAATTTGATCACGAAACAATCAGTGTAGATTGGGTAACTTTCCCCGGTTGCGCACTACTCTGAAAAAGGTGATTTTTTTCTCTTCTCTATATTATAAGCTCTATTAATGTTCAAGTCTTATTAAGTGAGTAGTTTTCCTTACAGTCTTTTAACTCTTTTTTTTAATAGCGTGAGTTAGAATACAGGACCTAAATCAGCTAGAATAAGCAAAACGTTTCATCTGTACCACATACTTTAAAATATAATGCCGCACACCACTAATTGCAACGCTCCCAGCAATACGAAAATATGGTAGTATCACACGCACAAACAAAAGCCTGAAAATCAGTCAGATAATAAATACATTAACCAGCATGACTCCTGCTACCCATGTATGGGGAATTCAGTGGTGTTGAGTTTCAGTATAATTGTTCAGGAAAGAACAAAGGGTGAGAATACTTTTATTTTGAACAGAGAAATGACATTATTATGTCTGCCCCCCCCATACGGATGAAGACATATTGTATTTACTGCCCCCCCCCCATACGGATGAAGACATATTGTATTTACTGCCCCCCCATACGGATGAAGACATATTGTATTTACTGCCACCCCCCCATACGGATGAAGACATATTGTATTTACTGCCCTCATACGGATGAAGACATATTGTATTTACTGCCCTCCATACGGATGAAGACATATTGTATTTACTGCCCCCCATACGGATGAAGACATATTGTATTTACTGCCCCCATACGGATGAAGACATATTGTATTTACTGCCCCCATACGGATGAAGACATATTGTATTTA